AGAAAAATTATAAACATTTCTAGTAAACATTAGATTTTTAACTGATCTTAAAAAGAAATTTGACATCATGTAATACTTTAGTGGCTCTCCTTTTCACAGCCATGAATACTATTTTCTGTGTTGTTTTGTGGAAATAATCTCCATGATCTGTTGGTGAACTTCTGAGAAGCATCAGTCTGGCCACTGGAGTAAACAGGATACTTAAGTAGATGGATCTAGTCTGACTGAGCAGGCTATGGTTGTGTTACTCATTTTGATTGCTGGATTAGGGACATTAACGTACCCACCTTTTTTCAGCAGGGCTACTGAGAAAGTTCTCTTCCTCTTGCTCTTCTACTGAAAGATTGTGGCTGTGGACAGGACCGCTTTCTTGTAGTTGAAAGTTCCCAGCTTTGCCAGAAATGGATAGTGGATTGTATCTAAAGCAATATTAAAAACAACCAGAATAATGCAAAATATTTCTCATCCCATGGTACTCCGAAACAAGAATTACCAGACACTCCTGCAAGGAGGGGAAATATAAAACAATATACATTTGGGGGGGAAATATTGCTAAATATACTCTTTTGGGGGCTTATTGAGTGATCTGGGGCCAGTCATCTCTTTCAGCCCAATCTATTGCAGAGGCTTGTTGATGCGGGGATAAAATAAAGGAAGACACATCCATTTACACTGTTGAGATCTGAGGGAAAAGATTATAAATACAATACATATAAATAATTAGCTAATATTTCATACATTATATAGCATGGTAATCTACAGATCAATAAAGTAATACTGATAAATAAACTATTTTAATCTGTGTTAAATGAAAATCAAATGGACAAACAAAAGCATTTTAACTTGGTTCCAGAAAAGTATATTTTTATGCTTGGCATTTTGCCATGTTACTACAGAGAAGAACCTTCTGTTTGTAAATATATGTACGACCTTTAGAGATAGACTAGCTTCTTCCAGCAGCAAGGAACCTACTACCCAAGACAGACTTTTCCAGTGGAAAAAAGGAACTGATGGGCTCAACTCTACATTTTGAGTAGGCAGAAAATTAATACAGATTATCAGCTACCTGAGTGCTGGATAGAGAGGAGAAGAAAGGGAACACATGACAAAGTGGAAGAAAAGGAAAGGAGTAGCTCTGTCCAACATCTTAATGTCTTCTGGGGTAGGCTGCAACATAAAATAAGAAATTGGAATTAATTGTAACTAGCACTTGAAAATAACCACAGATTTTGCCATGTTTTTTCAGATCTGTTGTAAGTCAACTGTGAGCTTTCTCTCCTTAGTCTAAATTCATTATCTTAAAAATTGTTGTGGGGCATTAATATTCTTCAAGCATGTGAGTGGAGGGGAAGAAAAGGATTTTGATTCCTACTGTGGTCTCCACGCGGCTGCTGAAAGGTGATCTCTTCCAGAGATTAAAAAATGCAAATAGGACCATCAGCATAATGTTCCAGTTCAGTGGGTTATTGTTATGAAGGGAGCACTACAAACACATTGCCATAAGCTGAGACAGGAATCTAAAGAACGTAACATTCAGTCCTACAGCTGCTGAGCATCCTTAGTCCTCATTGCGCCGCTTTGTGAATTCCTATTCAAAATGTTTTCATTGTTTTTCCAGTCACCGTGTGAGGTTCTGATTGTTTTGGCAACATAGGCAACTGCATTCACATCAGAAATAAAAGGAAAGATTTGTGAAAAATGCTGTGAAGCCTTAAAAATATGTGTATGGGTTTTTTTCTTTTTTAAAGCATATTTTTAGCCAAGTACACCAAGCCAGGTATCTGCTAGTTCAGAACAGTAATCACTTTAACTGAACTAGTTACTGACAGGAAGGAACAGAAAATTCATTTCTTAGGCAACTCATTGGTTGTAGTCCAAAATTCCAGGCAGCCTGCCATAGGTTCATTAGTACTTTTGACGCATCCAATAAAGTGACTTGAGGGATGCAGATTCATTTAATAAAACCATTCTAACAATTTAAAGGAATATCAAGCTTAGATTTTCAGGCTCCTGGGTTTAACTGCTTAATTTATTGCTCTCTCTTTCCACCATAAATTCTTGCCTTCATCCTCATTTTATATTAGACTATAGGAATACACATCATTCTACGATCAATTTGAGAGAATCTAGGTAGCAGCATATAGCTGACCTTGGTTGGGCCTGGTTAGTACTTGGATGTGACACCACCTAGGAATTTCAGGGCTATTGGCTTGACTGGGGAGAAAAATGGTATCTCAGAAAAAGGCAACAGCTAGTCTGAAAAGGAGCTATCAGGCTCCTTCTGGTTTTTGGCTACCATAGACAAACCCAGCTCTCCTACAAAGTAAACCACTTTTGCAACCCTATCAAGAAAACTGCACGGATGCAGTCATCAGGAATGCAGCAAAAGTTGAGGACCTCTTTCCCTTTTTTAATTCTTTCACCAGGGCAAGACTGGGATGTTGAAAAGGTATCCTAGATCATAGGAAATCCCTTCTGTATTTTTGCCAAGAAAATTACATAGACATCTCCACAAATCACTAGGATTCACACTTAATAGAGACTATTTTTTTAATGCCCTTTTCATTTGGACAGTTAAATTGATATACAGAGCTCTGTCTGAGGCTTCCCCCTCCCCAGCCCACTCCCGCAAACAGTGCTGAACTTTCTAAAAAACAGTTCAATGACTTCTATTAGGAGAGAAGTTTGATCCAATCATTCTGCTATTGCAGAGAAGAGAGGGCTTTAAACATTTCTCCTCCTACACAGTGTTAACTGATAGCCTAACAAGACTTTATCTCTTTTTCAGGACCAAAGATGGTATTGTTGTTTTCATTTTGAGAATTTAAAGTGGCAGTAGAATAGCCATGTTAGTCTATGGTAGCAAATAATCAGGAGGAGTTTGGTACCTTTTCCAACTAACACATTGTATGAAAAGGCATAACCTTTCATAAGCTTCAGCCCCCTTCATCAGATGCATAGATCATCATCTCACAAAATATATGTCTTTTAATAAAATGTGTTAGTTGGAAAAGGTGCTACCAACTCCTTCATAAGTGGCAGAGAGCTGTGGTATGCACAGGAGATAAACAAGAAAATCCTCTTTCAAAATAAATATCCCAAAAGATAAATTTATCTGTTAGCTGATTGTACTTGACATCTTTCTAAGCACTTGCATAATGTAATTGTAGGGATAATAATAATATGACAAGAAAGCGTGAGACAAGTTGTTACATTATTGTGTCACAGAAGTTGCATAATCACTGAGATTATGCAATACTTCTGTACTTTTTACAATGCAGTTCTGTAGCTCAAAGGTAAGCTCCACTGAATCACTGGGAATTGCTCCTCACTAAGTATTAGGATTGCACGATGAATCAAATGCATGTCATATAAGAATGCAGTCCCAAATGTACTTTCTGTCTACTTTGAGATAAATGGGGCTTGCTTTTTGAAAATGTGGGCTAAGAAAGGTCTACAATGCCTTGCCTATGTTTGACAGAAGTTTTTATGGACCAGATGGAAGGTTATTCATTGAAATGTCAGCTTCATACCTTTAGTCTCTTAAGCAACATATTTCTGACTTCTTTTCTTTTTGTCCATAAGCATTTTCTTCTAGCTAATATAAGAGCGTAAATATTCATTTATTATCTGGAGACAAATTTTATTTTTAAAAAATTAGTATCTCTTTTTAACTATATTTTTCAGCACTTAAGTCTAAATTAGATAATTAGCTTGTTCTGGGAAATATTATCCTAAATTATACATTAGATTTATGAGAATCCAATTATTAATATTCATCTCTGTAATTTACATCCCAGTGTTAATAATTTTTACTTAAAGCAAATTTGGTTGAGGAGAGTGCAATTAATTCTCAAGTCTACAAAATGTCCTACAATCCCATTTTTCCATCATGAAACTGCTATCCATGAAGAAAGAACAAAATTAATTAACTGCATCAACTTACAGTTTCCTTTGGGAATGACGTCCTTTCAAGTCTATAAACTCTTTTATTGTCCTTTCTTGTCAATGTTTCTGCTGTTTGTTGTATTTGATGAAATGGAGAGAACTCAGTCCATCTCTTTTGAACATAGGAGTCTCTTGGTCTTTTATACTTTCATGTCTTCATCCAACCTGCAAACTCCTGAACGTCACAGGATCAATTACTTTCCTGCCATTCCAAAAAGCCGTATTTAGCATCTCTTGCCTTACAAAGAGGGTTACAAGCAGGCATCAGTGGAGGGGCTGAGGGTGTCTGATATGCAAATTATCATCATCACCACTAGATAGAACAAATAACAGTTTGCTACTGGTAAATTTTGCATTTCTGAAAAACACCCATTTCTAACATGAAAGCCAACCATGATGGAAAATTAACCTTTAATATCACCTCCTCCCTCTTTTGTAAAAAGATTTGTTTCTATAATATATTGCTTTAAATCATCAGAATTATATTATTTTGCCTTGATGCTGTAGTTATATGAACATGCTTCAGCATTTTGCAAATATCAACAGTATATGAGCAAATGAAAAATTCCAAAGTACTACAATAGGTTTTAGACAGACCTCAGAGGCTATCTAGTCCAACCTTCCAGATAAGTGGGCATCTGACCCCAATTTAAAAAAATCCCCTTTCAAGCCAGTTTGTTCCTTTATTGAAAGATTTCTTATTGTCAACAATTTCTTCATGGCATTTAGCTGTAATCACTTTTTTGTATAATTTTGAACCTATTAATTTTCATCCTACCTTTTGAAACAATAGCAACATCAACAAAAATCTCTATCAAAATCTGGCAGTCTCCAAATATTTGAAGATGACAAACATACTGCATTTTACTCATTTCTTCTCCAGGTTAAAGATATCCAGCTCCTTCTTCTTTTTCACATGGGACCAGACCCTTAACCATTTTTGTAACCTCCTATAGGTTGTAATTTGGGGGCATCTTTCCTAAACTGAGAGTGTCCTAAACGCATTACTCCACTTATTCCAGTTGAGGCCTAAGTAAAGCAAAATGAATTAGTATAATTATTTTGTTTAATTTGGACACTAGAATTCTCTTGATGCAATCTAAAATTTCATTAGCCTTTTTATGGTCATGTTTGGGCTACCCCAAAATGTGAAATGCTGCCTCTAGCTTGAGGAACCTCAACTAGACAAAACATTCTCTGAAGAGTTTCTTCAGAGGGGTCCTGACTGTTTCTTCCATATCTTCTTCAGTCTGATTGTGGTAATTTCTGAGCTTCCTTCATCTCATCCTGTACATCCTCAGAGCAATAATGGAGGTATATAGTATATCATGGAAGTTTCAGAGAATTGTATTATGAAGTATCTACCAAGGGAAAAAACGAACTTGCTGAAGACATGGAAGAAAAGTTGTATATTTAAACCTTAAGCTTTCCTGAGCCTTTGTGAGATTAAACAGTGGTTAAGGGACCAGGCTAGAAACCAGGAGACTGTGAGTTCTAGTCCTACCTTAGGCACAAAGCCAGCTGGGTGACCCTGGATCAGTCACTCACTCTCAACCCTAGGAAGGAGGCAATAGCAAACCACTTCTGAAATCTTGTCAGGAAAACTGCAGGGACTAGTCCAGGCAGTCAGCAGGAGTCAACACTGACTCGAAGGCACAATAAATAAAAATAAATAATAATTAGTTGCACAAGCTCCTTTCTGTTATAAAGATATTACCTTATCATTCAAGGTCAATTTGTTGAGAGCTAAATCAGAAAGCTTCCTTAATTGTTTACACTTAAGATTTCAATTCAAGGTTGAAAAACGTACATTCCTTTAATCATGTACATTTTTTACAACTTTACTAGTATAAGGACTAGACTCAGTGGCCTAAGGTTATAGGCTGAATCTAAAACCTAATGGCCCTAGGTTTTAGGCTGAATCAGTTATCTTTCATTGGTCCTAGTCTTAAGCAGCCCAGGCTACATAATTTTAGAAGGTGACATTGTAAATTTGATTTTAGACATTTGCTATTAGTAGAAATCAAAAGTTGTGCTGAGTTCAGTTGTGGAATACAATACATGAGATTGTTCATAACAACACAGCAAGATGCTCAAAATCTTGGAGAAGTCATTATTGGGCTTTTAGGTATCTATATTAATATCAATCCAACCTAGTGTATAGCATTTTACCCTAGACATACCTTCTGACCACAGTCTAAATTAGCATAACTTGTTTCATTATTATAATTAAAATGATACCAGCTGTGCTCTAGGCACAGAAGTCACATGTCCTACAGCTGTCTTGTCTTATAGGAATAATTGCATTTCATCAAGAATGCTATGTAGATAGCAAGACCCTCTGTGACTGCCCAATCAATAACACAAAGCAGAACATAGGAAATGCTCTTTCTATCCCACATACCTGTATATTGGTTTTGTTATTGTAGGCCATGGTTACTTGAGGGACCACCTATCTCCCATAGCATCTAGCCAATTTGCTCTGACAGGGTTGGGGCACTCCAAGTTCCTTTGATTAAGCAATGACATCTATTTGACTTCTCAAACACCTACTGGTGTTTTGGAGGCTTGTAGACCTGGCACTTTTGCTACAGTAGTTGAAGCCCCTTCTGAGTAGTGTGTGTATGTTTCTCATTGTTGCCTGGTTTTGCTATCTTTTTGTTCCTTTGTCTTTATCGTTGTATTGTTTTATTGTAATTTTCTGTTTTTACTTTATGAACTGCCCGAAGTTGCTGGGACTGAAGTATTATACAAATTTAATAAATAAATAAATTGTGCCTCTATTCTTCTGATTTCTACCTAAGAAAGGTATTCAGACTATCCAAATTCAGACAAGCTATCCGAATAGGAACACGTAATAACAGGGATATTGATAGGGCTGTGCAAATCCTTTAAAAGAGGTGTTCTGGATCACACTAGAACACATACAGTACAAAACACCTCTTTCCAAATTATTAAAACAGCTGCATTTTTTTTTCCTGGCTTATGAGGCTGCTTTGGGAACTGCTCCCACTTGTGTACACACAAAGCCACTTCATTTGCAGAAGAAATGCAGCATAAAGTGGCTGCGCAGATGCACACACATAAAAAGACGCGGAAGCAGCTTCCAAAGTAGCCATGCAAGCTTGGAAAAGATGCCGCTGCTTTGACGGTTGGAAAAGAGATGCATTCCAAGTGTTCCAAACCATTTCTTTTGTACATAGGGATGTACATAGCCCTAAATATTCAGCTTTTTGTTTCCATTTAGAGTTTATAAAAATAAATTTCCCAAATCTTTCCTTAATTTTCCCCATCATATTTTCTGTTTATTCTGCACTATCCTGCAGTTTTCCTGCTTAAGATATATAACTCTTTTGTGTGTTTGTGTTTTTGTGTGTGTGCATGCATCTTCAAGTCAGTCTTAACTTCTAACAACTGCCTAGACACGTCCCTGCAATGGCTTGCCATTGCCTTCTTCCTAGGGCTGAGAGAGAGTGACTGCCCCAAAATCACCCATCTGCATTGTTCCTAGGCAGGACTAGAACTCACAGTCTCTGAGTGTTTTTAACCACTATGCCAAACTGGCTCTTCACAAGTCTATTAGATTTTATCATATTTGTTACTTCTGTATGGTCATATATAGATATGGTAGTCACAATCAGCATAGGCTCTAGATAATAAAGTTAAGGATATTTGCAGATGTAGCAGAGTAGTTCACTTAGGGAATTTACCTATGTATAAAGCATTCATTGTATCAGAATGCAGTTTGCAATCTTTTCCATACTAGGGCTTTTAAGTGTTTCAACACATTACTCTTCCAAAACTATCAGATTCTTGTGGCACCTTAAAGATTCCACATTATCAGGCAGTCTCCACAATTACCTGGAAGTAGAATTAAATATGTTCAGATTCTCACTGTTGTGGCTTTTGGGGCTTTCAAAATAGCACTGAAATTCTGAAATGGTCATCTTCATAGCAAGGCCGTAGTGGATAGCATATTACTGAGCTAGGAGTATGGCTGGAGATCACTAGTGAGATCTGATTCAAAACTAAGTCTCATTTAGAGCAATGGGATTTACTATCTAGAATATATATTTAAAACTGTAGCTTGCAATCAAGTCTTTTTTAGTCTGGTTTAAAGAAATTCCTGTCTATTTCTCTAGATCGCTGGTGTTATGAGATTGACCAGTTAGTTAAATGTTTCCTAAACTGATTTTGGCTTATTAATTACTCATTTCCTGAGTTTAGTAATCATAGAGATTTCCTATTTGCTCTTTCATTTACTCATATGTTATACTAACTCACTTGTGCTTTAGTTTAAAAGTCAGAGGAAATAATAGAAGCATGAGAAAAAGAACTGAATAAGTTCCTCATACCTCTAGTTTTGGGGTACAGATGGAGTGGAACTTTAACAAAGCTGGATCTTTTCTTGTGTGAAAAAAGATAGCTCCAAAGTCAAAGATCATTATGTATATCTCTGTTTTAGCTAAACCATTAGTGTAATAGTTACTGGACCAAATTCCTAGGATCTTATGCCTTTCT